TTGTTTGTTTTTCTAATTGTTGAGTTTTAAGAGTTCTTGTACATGTTATATGACAGTCCTTTATAAAATCTGTCTTTTGCAAATATGTTCTCCTAGTCAGTAAATTGTCTTCTATTTCTCACCACAACGTCTGTTGCAGAGCAGAAGTTTTAAATTTTAATGAAGTACAGCTTATCAATTATTTCTTTCATGGAACATGCCTTTGCTGTTGTATCTAAAAAGTTATTACCAAACTCAAGGTCAATTAGATTTTCTACTATATTATCTTTCAGGATTTTTTTGTTTTGTTTTGTGCTTTACATTTAGGTCTATGATCCACTTTGAGTTAATTTTTGTGAATGGTGTAAGGTCTCTGTCTAGATTCATATTTTTATTTTGCATGTGGATGTTTAATTGTTCCAGCACCATTTGTTGAAAAGACTATCTTTTCTCCACTGGATTGCATTTTTTCCTTTGTTAAAGATCAGTTGACTATATTTATGTGGGTCTATATCTGGGCTCTCTAGTCTGTTTCAATACATATTTATCCACTCTTATGCCATTATCACATTGTCTTGATTAAGTCTTAGAGCCAGGTAGTGTCAGTCCTCCAACTTTGTTCCTCTCCTTCAATATTGCGTCGGCTATTTTTGGAATTTTGCTTCTCCGTACAAACTTTAGAATCAGTTTATTGATATCCACAAAATAACTTGCAGGGATTTTGATTGACACTGTGTTGAATCTATACATCAATTTGGGAAGAACCGACATCTGGACAATATTCAGTTTCTCCATTCATGAACATGGAATATTTCTCCATTTATTTAGTTCTTCTTTCATCAGAGTTTTGTAGTTTTCCTTATGTAGATTTTATAATATTTAATCAGATTTGCACCTAATATTTCACTTTTTGTGTGATAATGTAAATGGTATTCTGTTTTAAATCTCAAATTTCATTTGTTCTATGCTGGTATATAGTGAAGCAATTGATGTTTGTATATTAACTTTGTAACTTATAACCTTGCTATAACTGCTTATTAGTTCCAGGACTCCTTATGTCAATTATTTTGGATTTTCTAAATAGAAAATTTGTCATCTGCAAACGAGGACAGTTATATTTTTTCATTCCCACTCCGTATATATTGTATTGCATTTTCTTCTCCTATTCCAGTATCTGGGTCTTTCACTATGATATTGGAAAGGAGTGTGAGGGGGGACATCCTTACTTTATTCCTGATTTAAGCAGGGAAACTTCTAGTGTCTTATCATTAAGTATGATGTTAGCTGTAGGTTTTTTGTAGATGTGCTTTACAAAGTTCCTTAATTTGATAGGTGAGGAACAATTCTGCTCTATTCCTAGTTTGCTAAGAGTTTTTATCATAAATGGATGTTGGATTTTGTCAAGTGTTTTTCTGCATCTATATTGATATGATCATGTGATTTTTCTTCTTTTTTAATATTTTCGTTTTTTATTTCAGAATATTACAGAGGTGCAAATGTTTTGGTTACATAAACTCTTTTTGTACCAAAGTCAAAGTTACAAGTTTGCCCATCCCCCAGATAGTGTGCATTGTACCTGTTCCGTATGAATTTACCCATCCCCTCCAGCCCCCTCCCAACTGCTTGATTTCCTATGAATGTTATTTTCATAAGTGCACATAAGTGTTGATCAGTTAATTCCAATTTAATGGTGAGTACATGTGGTGTTTGTTTTTCCATTCTTGTGATACTTCACTTAGAAGAATGGGCTCCAGTTCCATCCAGGTTAATATAAGAGGTATTAGTTCACCATTTTTTATGGCTGAGTAGTACTCCATAGTATACATATACCATATTTTATTAATCCACTTATGTATTGATGGACACTTGGGTTGTTTCCATATCTTTGCAATTGTGAATTGTGCTGCCATAAAAATTTGAGAGCAAGTGTCTTTTTATAGAATGTCTTTTTTTCCTTTAGGTAATACTGTGGTTTGGTGTTTGACGTGAATATCGGAAAATTATTGGTCATTATTACTTCAAAAGGTTTATGTAAAAGGTGAATTTTTTGAAAGGTAATTGTTGAACAAATATTTGTAAGCAATTTAATAGCATCAATAAAATCCCGTTTTGTGGTCCTCTAGTCTATTTTTTTCATACTATGGTATGCCTTGGAATCACCTGGAGATCTTGCTAAAACACATATTGCTAGGCCCCACCCCTAGAATTTCTCATTTATTATGTTTGGGATGAGGCCTTATCCCTCTACTTTCCACAATACCACTGTACCAAGCTGTAAGCATGGTCAGACTTTACCAATAGAATGGGAGTAAGTAAAGTAAGTCTCAATGTTGAGAGGTAAAATCTGAGAAACTGAGTATGACTTTTTCTCAGTCCAAGTTAATTTAGGTTAAATCTTTCACAGAGCTTCTTCTCATTGACTTCCACACTTACTAACCATACAAACCTGTATTCAGGTACATGCTGAACATGGAAAATATCTGCTTCTAACTCAAGCATTCAACCTGACCCCTACATTTGTACCCAAAGGTATAAACTAGTAAACTAATATATATTTAACTATCTGGAATAGGGTAGAAAGTGTATAAAACCTGCACGTGTCTCTTTATTTACTCACTTATTCGTTCATTCATTCAACCAATATTTGGTAGATGCTATGGTCTGAATGTATCTTCCAAAATTCACCTATTGGAAACACAATCCCCAGTGCAACAGTATTGTTGGATGGTTGGGCCTTTTGGGAGGTGTTTAGGTCATAAGGGCTCTATCTTCATGAATGAATTTATGCTGTTATATAAGGACTTGATGGAAGGACTTTGTCCCTTTTGCCTTCTGCCATGAGAGGACATAGCGTTCCTTCTCTCTGGAGGATGCAGCATTAAGACACCGTCTTGGAAGCAGGGGGCAGCCCTCAACAGACATCAAACCTTCTGATGCCTTGATCTTGGACTTCTCAGACACCAGAACTCTGAGAAATGAATTTCTGTTCTTTATAAGTTACTCAGTCTCAAGTATTCTGTTATATCAGCACAAAACTAAGACAGTCATTATCTGTTATTTTCCAAGCACAATTCTAGGCTTGGAATACAGCAGTGATCAAAATAGAGGAGACTGTTGTTGTTAAGAAGCTCACATTCTACTGGAAGAATCAGACAATAAACAAATACATATATGTTACATTGATAAAGTGCTACTGAGAAAAAATAGATCAGGAAAGAGAAGTATTCAAGCATATTCCATTAAAGAGAGGGTATTAGGAAAGCTTCTCAGATAAGGTGACATTTGATAGAGGACTTGAATGAAATGAGAAAGGGAACCAGGAAGATATCTGGTAAAAACAATGTTCTAGGCAGAGGGAATAGGAAGTGCAAAGGCTTTGCAAAGGCATAGGTTTCAGAGTGTTAAAAAAAGAGCAAAAAGGTAAATGCGTATAATGCATTATTCTAAAAAATGAAGCAAACTCTTTGAAATTGACTTGCATAGATCGTTCTTTTGGTAAAAATAGAAACTTAATACTTTTATAAAATTAACATATTCATTTCTAGTATATATACATATTTTATAACACTCTGGTTAAAGTATTACTCCACAGTAATCAAATCAATTGTTATGTGTGTTCGTGTAGCCCTCCTTAGTACTATTTATTTGTGCTTTTTTAAAACTTTATTAGGGCAAATAGATTTTTATAAGACACGAATTTTGGTATTTTCAGCATATCATTTAGAAGATAATAAAGCATTCTATCTTTACTGTTCTTAAATACCAATATATCAATATATCTCTTTCAATTTTGATGTTTTCTGCAGTGTTTTGTAAAGTAATACCTTCAAGTTAAGAGCAACAGTAATTCAAAGTCTCATTTTAAACTAAACTCTTAATCTTCTTCTTACTTCTAAAGTTTGGATTAAATTATGAAGGTTGAGTATAAAAAATAAATTATTTTGTGTTAAAACACAGTCTAGGCCGGGCGCGGTGGCTCACACTTGTAATCCTAGCATTCTGGGAGGCCGAGGCAGGCGGATTGTTTGAGCTCAGGAGTTCGAGATCAGCCTGAGCAAGAGCGAGACCCCGTCTCTACTAAAAATAGAAAGAAATTAATCGGACAACTAAAAATATATAGAAAAAAAAATTAGCCGGGCATGGCGGCACACGCCTGTAGTCCCAGCTACTCGGGAGGCTGAGGCAGTAGGATCGCTTGAGCCCAGGAGTTTGAGGTTGCTGTGAGCTAGGATGACGCCACGGCACTCTAGCCCGGGCAACACAGTGAGACTCTGTCTCAAAAAAAAAAAAAAAAAAAAAACACAGTCTACTCTGAACACAACAGGTTTTTATGTACTTGAAAGAGGGGAGCTGAACTGAAGCTAAAGAAACAATGACTATGCACCCTGGCCTTATTACAATCAATGCTTACGATGAAGAAGAAAATGCGTAGCTATATTAGCAATAGGAACTTTTCCAAAACAGCTTAAGATTCTTGGGATAGGAATTTATAAAGCTTCATCCTGCAAGAGTAGAACAAGGGAGTATGCACCTGAACCCTAGGGCTTGTCTATCTGTGAACACCTACATGTCTCGGTATGTGAAGCTAATACGACTTATCCATCAAAAAATTCGTGAAGCATTATTGCACTTAGTGATTTCCAACATGACCCTCATATGATATGTGATATGTTTACTAATCAATTGGATCTCAATCAATTGTGTACAAAGTTTAAGTAGTGTCACCTATAGTTAATACTTTATACAGCCGAAAATGTCAGCAATGACTAGGGCTATCTTTCATTTCTAGAGCATCTCTACATACATTTTTTATCATTTATTCTTTAAAATAAGTTAAAGAAGTATTTACATTTGAAGAAATTTATCTTGAAGATGTTAAGAAGGTATCCCTTTTTTCAGAACAGAGACTAAATGTTGTATTTAGGGCTAGAATCCATGGATTCCGAATACAGTTCCATAGCTCCTATATCATCACAATACAATTTGCAATAATTTATTTAAAGAAATAAATAACTTCTTACCTTCGTGACAACTTTTCCATATAACATGTCGAGTACTCTCATAATTTGTGTTCAACCAACTAAGTAGAATTCTTTCAGAATCAGAATATATGTTGCTGGATACAAAACAAGGATTGATTTTTGGTGTATTTTGCAGATGTATGGGGGGCATAGTACTGCTGGAATATGGTACTACCCGGGATAGAACCAGAACCTGAAATTGAGAAAGAAAGAGAGAGATAATTTTAATTAGATTCAAATGGAAAAAGTAACAAGTTAATATTTAAGAGTAAATGAAAAATATGACAGGCAAATAAGTAAAGAAAGGCACTAGTATTTTCCGCTTAAATGCATCCAATCAAGAGTGAAAGAACACATCAAATTCATCTCACTAATGCTTGTTTTAAATTCTCAACCTTTTGCTTCTATACCATTTAATCTACAAGACACTACACTATGAAATTTACAAGAGGCTTATTACCCAATGGAAAAAAAAACTGCACTTGAGAACAGTTTTGTTGACTGTCAATTAATTTATAACACAAGGATTTGAAATGCCTTTCTTATTTCTATGCTGGCTCATGCAATTTGGAAAAATAAAATTTTGAAAGCCCAAGTAATGTTAATCAAGTCAAAACTTACTTTGACATTGATACTTATTGAAGAGGTCTGTTTTTAAGATGACAAAGGTGTACAGGCATTTGTAATTTGACATATTTTTATCCTATATTGTAAAGTGTGGTATATTTACATCATATCACCATTCAATAGATGTATACCACATGTTTTATTATGAAACAATATCTCTATATTTAAAGATGATTAAACAATATTCAGATTAAGTAAAGAACTCTGCGTTTGATCAGTGCAGCACTATAGTACAGAGCTACTCAAAGTGACTATTAGCAGTTTGTTACAGGTTCTGGATGAGATGAATAGCTTGTGATCTGCTACCTCACTATACAGATCGCAAGACTTTATTAATGAAGGAGTCAGAGCATCAGTTTACATTACAGTACACAGTACAAAGTTCAGCTCCTTGGTTCATCCCCAACCTTTAATAGACAGTTCTCCAATGGAGTGGGTATGAAGAAAACAGTTTGAGTGACATGTGCTATAGAGATACTCTTGGTACCTCGCCCATATTCCCTCAGCACTCACCTGCACATTCTGGAGGTTGCTTATTGTGAAAACCTACAAGTCTTTTCTGGAGGGATTATTTTCTCTGAGACATGAGAGCACATTTAGCTCACAGAAGGCAAGCTACGAGTGGCAGAGGATAAAGACTCCAAAAACAACCCCCTACCAAAGATGATCAGAGAATTGGTAGTTAAATACTCCAGATTCCTCATCACTCAGTTGGTATAAATAAGATGTGTCCTACAATGTCTCCCATAGATCCCCAGTGGGATTGAGCTTCAGTTCCCCACAGTGGAACCTGCTTGAAACTACATCTGTTATTGGCTTCATTATATTCTGTTTCAATTCCCTACTATTCTACTACCCATGCTTCTTGGGATCACCCCTGAAATAAACTATTTGCACTCAAATACTTGTCTCAGAGTCTGCTTTTAGGAGAATCCAACCTAGGACAAATATTTTCACAGTCAAGTATATGTAAATTGTAAATTTGGAAAAATGTGCTCCTTTTTTTCATGCAGTGCATATCTATGCTATGTAGTGTCTCAAACAATTACAGTTTAAAAATTATTAAAATACCTGTGAGCATCCCAAAAGTGTTCTTCTCTTTGCCACTCTGAGAAGCATTTTAAAATTCTATCAAAAAGTTAATTTCCGAATGTTAGCTATTTATCTGGCTTATGTCTTGTGAGAATAGCCATCCATAAATGTGAATTGTATCATTTTAGCATTTTTCATAGAAGTTTAACAGAGCTACCTTCTTTTATCATTCTGGCAGTTATATGGTCTAGAACTTCTAAATTTCAAATCTAATATACTATAAAAATGCAATTAAAAGCTTTTAAAAAGGACTCCTACCTCTTCCTGGGGAATACCAAATGATGAATTATCTGAGTACAGTTGATGAGATAAATGTTTAGAGCTAATAACCTGAGCTGGCTCAGGATTCATCTGTCATCTGTCACCTCTACTCTGCAAATGAGACAAGATCTGCAAGTGACCTGTGACTAAGAATACAGATTTAATGATCGACCTATATGGATTATGGGTGTAAACTTTAATATAGGAAGAGCCACCACTCTGAGTTACTTAATTCTAAACCAGTGCTTCTGACATCACCAGTAGTGAAAGAACCGTTGGTTTTCACTTTGCCGCAGAATGATAGCTTTGTAAAATACTCTAATAAATTTCTAGGAAAATAAAATGAAGAATAAAAATGTATACAAAGTACAAGACCCCATCACATACAAATCCAAATACACCTTGGGTAAGAATCGTTACTATTTGTTGCCTAGCATGCAAACCACATCAAGTATGAGTTCAAGGAATAAAATGAGGATTACAGAGGCCAGAATGCCTTGTTAGCTGTGGAGGTAATCAATGAAGTTAGGGTAAATATGTTTTACCTATCCACATTCAAGAAATTCTTTCCTGCTCTCACATTGTTTGGATATGTCCTTCATTTTTGTTAAAAAGATGTAATTCAAGAAATGTGAGTGATAGTACCCCTTTAAAGTCAATAGACTGGCCACATGATGGAACATACTCCTTGGCTATCCTACCTTGTCACTATAGAGCAATTTAAAGACCTAAAAACAATGACAGAAACTCGGACTTAGGGGGGGAGGGGGGGTAAGGGCAACATACGTAACCTAAACATCTGTACCCCCATAATATGCTGAAATAAAAAAAATAGTAAAATAAAAAAAATGGCAAAATTACTATTAAAAGTATATACTTTCATATATTGAGTGTTATGCCACTACTGTCATATGTGTACTTCCAGTTCCATATGAACTTTGCTGTTATATTTACAAATATTGTTTTTCCATAACTTTTTAAAAATTATGTATTATTTTAATCTATTGACCTCAAAAACACTTGATAATTTTCACTTTTTAATTATCCATAAAAATCTTTGGATTTTTTAGACTATTTAGGTATTCGGATTTGTTCTGAGGAATCATTTAGATTAGGCCTACGTTGATCAGAAAAAAAGAATCAATAGCCAGTTTGAGACTTTTCTTTTAGACTTAGGGGATACCTGATGGTTTAATGCTTGGTTGGAATCCAAGTTAATTAAGAATCCAGATGAGGACTGTATACTAGACCAACCAGTCATGCCTCACTGTGAAAATTTTGTATTGAGTAATGAGTGATTACTCATTACTCCGAGGGTGCCGCATGACTAGAAGGCTGAAAAGACAGCAGACTGTAAGGCTTCCCTGAATTGAAACGGTCCATGCCAACTAGACCCCATCTCTTGTGACCATTTCTGACTTGAGTGTGGAATGAGCAGGACAAGGGAAGCTATGCCTTGAGTCACAAGGCCTTGGCTTTGCCGTTGCTGTGCATTCTGGGTTGTGACCTATTTTGTGAACTTCTTTAAAGCTAACCCAACATGTCACTATGTAAAATCTACTGTATTTCACAGTTTTGATTATCAAACCAAACCCAAGACCAGGCTGCTGGTGAAGCCCTATACAACTAATGATTTATAAGATAATATTTCCAACATATTTTTGCATATAAGCAGAGATAAGTAAGACATTAGCTACTAGTTGGCAATGAGCTGAGCTTTCCCACAGTCTTTGTGCCTAACAGAAGGAAATTTTCTTGAAGGACTTAAAGGATCTTGGCATCTTCAATTACGGCTAAGTAAAGTGGATTTTAGGATATCATACCTAATATGGATTTGTATTGTATTACAACAAAGATAAAAATGAGGGCACATGCAGTAACATCCCACCTATCCAAATCTCAACTATATGGAAAAACCTCATAGAATACAGTTCTTGCATATGTTAATACTTTGAGCTACAATCCTTGACATCTCAAAATCTACGTGTTAACTTTCTTCTACTTAATTTATAAAAACTTGTTTGTGACTTTAAGTCAGAGCCTATTTGCTTTTAGTTTGTAGAAAATTTTAAAAAGTGTGGATATGAATTTCTTAGGTCATAGAAAATTACAAATAATAAGAAAAAGAACTACTGTAAGCAGGCATGTTGGTAACTGCAATGAAAGGCAAGAGAAATAATATTAATAGTTACATGCAAGAGAATGAGAAAAAAACTATTAACAACTAAAAAAAAAAAAATCCAGTGTCTGAGCACCATTTGGGTGGGAAACAGGCCTGTATAACTCAATGAGTTCTGTGGTCACCACTGTGCTTGATACATAGGTGATAAAAATACAATTCTGAATACTGCCTCTGTGGATTTGGTGTCTTGCCTATCTTTACCAATAGTATTCCAATTTTATAATATTATACAGAAATTTTGAACTGGTTTGGGGAAAATATGTTTATCTAGAAAGACCACTCCTGTATGTTTGAAAATATCAAAATATCGAAATATTGACTATAATTGCATCATTATTTAAAAAAAAAACTTTATGACAGACAATATGCTGGGAACAAATGAATAATCAAATTGATTAAACTTACCCAGGTATTTATTTCTGATCACATTTTTCTTTTCCAGAGTCTTTTGTAAACATATCACATATGTTTCCTTTAGCACATACAGAATCACCCTTTATATTCACACAGGAACCCTGTTTATAGTTATATTTAGAACAGTATTCTGAGTTTGAATGTTTCTGTTACTATTTTTCACCTCTCTTATGTTTCAATGACCCATTAGTCAACCATCAATACACTTTTGTGACTTGGGAATGCAATGCAAGACAATAACTACAATTAAGCATGCAAATTTAATAAGCATAAATAACCAAATGACACAAAATGTGATTGACTGAAACCAACTGTATCTTGTTATCTATTAGCCAAGAAGAACTAAAAAAAAAAGCAGTACTTGCATAACCTCTGGGGAGGCAACACTTAGTCAGAACCTAAAGGGATTTGTGTGAAAATCACAACTTTCCATTTCTAACCAGTGAAATGCATTTCAACACTGTTTGCTTTTTCAAGTGAAATTGCAAATCAACTTCTGATTTGATGCAGTGCCTGGTGTTACACATGCTTTAGATACAACACATGGAGAAACTCAGCTCCCAGATGATCTAATTGGGCAATATTATCGATTCCTATGATTTTATCATTGAATCAGTGAAGAATCCCAAATGTGCTGACACTCAGATTTCTCTCTGACTAATGTATATGCCCACCTGGTAATCACACAGGGCACCATAAACATAGCAGGATGAAAATTAATTTATCAGGTCTTCTTGTCCTTTCCCAACTTCTGATCATCCAAAATTTCTGTTCTCTCTCCTTGTCTTTTATTTCAGTGAATGGGATTAAATGCCACTCAGTACCCACGTGAGAAACCCACTGTCGTTCTTGACCTATCTGTCTCTGTCAATGCCAAAGATCTAATCATTCATCAAATTCTACTGAGTTTTACTCCTAATATTTATTAAAGCTGCCCCCTTTCTCATCCACTCCACTAGCACCAAAGTTCCCACGTAGGTCACAGCACCAGACACTTAAATATACCCCCCAACAGTTTCCACAGTGTACCAGGGTGTTTTCTCTAGAATGCAAAGCTTATTATATCACCCTTGTGTTTAAAACCTTTAAGTAGCTCTGTACTAACCTCAGGATAAAATCCAAGAAGTCCAGCGTCCCCTTTGTAGTAACAGAGATTCTTTCCTTGACCATTTTTTTTTAGTCAGGCTCCTGAACCTTCTCCTAGGCCAATCTGTGCACTTGTTTGTAAAATACAGTTTTAGCAACAACCTTGCTAAGTCAGTTTAGCAAGAACCTCCTACCCTCCATTTCTGATCACCCTTGACATCTACTTGGGTTCTTTGTCTTCCACCAACCCCCAGGGGAATGTCTGATCATCCTGGCTTAATTTCAGCAAGAATCCTGTTAGGTTTATTTAGCCAGAATCCACCCTTACTCCTGATGCTTCCTCTTAGTCATTTTCCATCCACTGACCCCCTACCCTGCTTCTTGGCTATGAATTCCCACTTGTCCATACTGTGTTCAGCGTTGAACCCAGTCTCTCTCCCCTACTGCAAAATCCCATGCCATGGTCCCTATACCTATTGTGATGGTCCTGAGTAAAGTTTGCTTTACCATGCTTTAATGAGTGTCATTGAATAATTTTTCTTTAACAGACATAAACCACGATAAAATTTCTCTGAGTCCCCTTCCACTATCTTCAGCCAAATTACGTTTATTCATCAGAAAATTCCATGTTCTATCTAACCTCAAGGCTTTTCCATGCTGAATTCCCTTTGTCTTAAAAATTTTTGCTGCCTCATCCCCCAATAAAATCCACCTACTCTCTCCTTCACACAAACTGTAGAATCTCTCTCTCCAGCCTATGTCCCACCTCACCTACCAAACTCTTGTTCATTTATGAGGGTTAAGTTTAAGTAATCTTCTTCCTGGAAGGCTTCCCCAAGGCACAAGAAAATTAGTTACTTTCTATGTGCATCATCCATAGTTTTTCTTGGGATTATCTTGTCATAGTACTTATACATTTTTATAATTAATTATACTTCCGGATATAATATTTTTTTTTTTTTTTGGAGACAGAGTCTCGCTCTGTTGCCCAGGCTAGAGTGCCGTGGTGTCAGCCTAGCTCACAGCAACCTCCAACTCCTGGGCTCAAGCGATCCTTCTGCCTCAGCCTCCCAAGTAGCTGGGACTACAGGTATGTGCCACCATGCCCGGCTAATTTTTCTAATTTTTGTAGAAATGGGGTCTCACTGTGGCTCATGCTGGTCTCCAACTCCTAATCTCAAGTGATCCTCCCACCTCAGCCTCCCACAGTGCTAGGATTACAGGCGTGAGCCACCACACACGACCCAGGATATAAAATTCTTGAGGAGACAGGTTATATCAAGTTTACGCTTATGCTCCCAGAGCCTAGTATAGTACCTGGGGCACTACAGTTGTTGGATAAATAATTTATCAGGAATTCATTCAACAAATACTTATTTAGCACCTACTATGTACCTCACATTCTATTAAGTTTTCAGTTTATAAGTGATACATGGTTTCTAAATCCATAGAAAGATAGATGGAGAAGATAGATTAAACAAAGTAAACATATACATGAATGCATGAATGAATAAATAAATGAATGAGTAAATAAAAGCCATAAGCCAAGATTATGTTAACTTTGCCCATAAAGTGAGTATTTTCTGCTCTTCTGTGTGGGATTTGCTCCTCTTTATCAGTGGGCAAAATTATAGATGATGCAGCATAGAGTTAAAAATGCAAAAAAGGAAATGTCTTTTCTAAACCTATGTTTGGCTGAAAGTGGCAAATACCTTTATACCTTCCTCTGGGAATTACCCAAGAAAAGACAGGATTTATCTTCTTAACATTCAGCTAGAAAGACAGTTTAGGTTGATGGGGGAAGAAGAGGAGGATCAAGGGGGAAATCATACAGAAGGAACTCTCCAGAAGGTGATCTGGGTGGCTGACTGAAGTGGAGACTTCAGACTGCCAGAAGGCAGCACAAGAGCCCTGGACTCCAGGGCCCTAGCAGAGAACAAGAAAGAAATAAACATTACCTACATCAAATTATTGCATATGGTCAAATTCATATGACATACTTATATGTGCCTGTGAGATTAGTTTCCTCACCTCTAAACTGGGGACTACAGTTGTGAGGATTAAACAAGATCACATTAAAAAAACAAGGGGACGGGTATATGCATGTGCAATGCGCACCACCCGAAGGATGGACATATTTGAAACTCGGACTTGGGGGGGGGGCAAGGGCAACATACATAACCTAAACATCTGTACCCCCATAATATGCTGAAATTAAAAAAAAATTAGTGAAAGAGTCTTGCACATACTGCACACTATTTGGTTCTTAATTTTGTCCTTTCCTTTGAGTTACTAATTCTTGCTTCTATTTAAATCCTTCTGTGTTCTAACTCCGAGGCCAACAGCTTATCCACCCGTGGTTGCAAAGTGTGAAGACAACGCAAAAACCTCCATTGGTCTTGGTGGACAAGATCTATAGTGCCACATTTGAAAGCCTAGGGAATGATTCTTGGTCTGAAACAAGGACTTATTTACACAATAAAGAGATAGAGTATGGAGGCATAGTTTATACTATGTTAATCTACTCACAAATGCAATTTGGCATGAAGTAAATTGGAGCTTCTCATCAAAACCTAGTATCATCTATAATTTCATGAATCCTGGTGAATATTACTTTATAGCAAGAGTCTACCATGTATTAGAGGTGGAGACCATAATTTTCACCAATATCCATCCTGTAGTTATGCCTTTTAGTACCAGAATGTGCCTGCAGCTATTCATTCTAGAGACTATACTACTCAACACCTCTTGCAGCTAGATGCGGCAATATGATTAAATTCTACCCAGTGGAATCTGAAATAGAAGTGACACATTTTTCAGGTGACATCCTTAAAAGGTATCTCCTTGCCTTCCAGTACTCCTTTACCTGCTCTTCCTCGTTCAGAGAAATTGGACCTCCTAGATGAAAGCCTAGTACTGAGGATAGAAGAGATACCCCACTAGCTCTGAATTACTCACTTCTCAGCAGTTCCATGAGAAAAAAAAAATTCACTTCATTTAAGGCACTGTGTTTTTGAATCTTTTATAGCACCATTACCCATATTTTAACTAATATATTATTCATGTGATTCAACCGAAAAGCAGCAACAAACAATATTGGAAATGTTACCTTGTATATCTGAAGGAATACATCTGTCCATGCCCGTTTACTCCAGGCTTCAAATTCAGTCATTTCTATAACAACAGAACACCTTTCCTTATGTGTATAGGAATTCACAGGCACAGTATTAGTGGAAGACTTTAAGAAATAAAATAGTACAACATTAATTCAAATGTAAGGTAAAGGGAAGTCCAAAATTTTAACTACTTAGTATGTAAGTTTTTTTCTTTTTACAAAACATTTGCATGCTCTTTTTATACATGATTCAAAACCTCTAATTGCCCATGTGTCAATAGTAAAAACTATCAACACAGGTAACTTTCTGGGGCACAAAGTCTCTTACTTAGGTCAGATTTATTCATTCAGTGCGTCTACTAGCTCACTCTGTAGTAGAAGTGGCAAAACAAGATGTGAAATTCTTCTGAACCCTGAGCTGAAATAGAGCCACACCCTTTGGCTTAGGCCACAAGACCTCAGCATAGTGCCAAAGAAGAGGCAAGCACCTGGCTCTCGTACTGATGTCACGTGGCAAGCATAGTGACAATGCCACCACTAGAGTTAGTTGCCTTAAAGCCTGAAGGCTCCTCAAAAATAATTCCCCTGCCAATAGGTTTCCAGAAAATGAATTGCATATTTTAAGAAAACTATATATTTCTTGCTTAATTTTTCTCTATTCTCCCCTTAAACTGAAGGAAGGAAAACGCAAGTGGTGGTAAAATTAAACCAGTATTTTCTTTGAAAGATATATATTCTAAAAATTTATTTTAAAAAGAAAAATTACATAACTCCACCTCATTCTTCATTTATAAATTCTTTAAAGAAGCAATTACTTACTTTCATATTTTTATATTTCTGTCACACAGAATTTGTAAGTCTAATAAAATACTTGTTGATTGTGGGGAAAGTATATACATATATATATATTTACTTATATATTTTTAAGAAATCCATGTAATCAATCTTGCATAGGAACTCTACAGAGATTTTTTGATAAATGCATAAAAAGTATGGGTTGTCCAGAAAGGCACAAGCCTTAGAATATTTCATATGTAAAGATCAATGACTCCGAAATGGGATCTTCTAACAAAGGCCAAATACCAGTACATACAATAATAACTGTATAGAGTGTTCCTAGAAATTATATTTCCTTACCGTAATTTCCATCCATTTCTTATAATCTTCTGGTTCGAGCAGAAATTCGGGCAGTACATGAGAAATACATGCTCCTTGAGTACTAAAATTAAAAAAGAAATACCCACATTATGATAATATAATATGATCTGTATATCATTTGGATTGACCTTTAATTATTTCAATAATGTCATATTTTTATCTGTTGAATTTTAATTTTGAAATTTAAAATTTATATAATTAATTTGTAAAACTTCCCTTAATAATGAAATGATGTTTCCATTGGAGAATTTGATTAATAAGAGAGAATGCCTATAATCACCCTCATCGACCATTACATGCTAATGGAATATAGAGAGTTATATGATTTAGTCTTTGTAGTCAATGCAGTAACCATTTTATTGTTATAACACTATAAAATTGAAAAAAATCTCAAAAAAGTTGTAGTACAATAAAATATCTGAGAGATCATTAGTCATCCAATGTTTATTGAATGCCTATTACCACATATACCAGAATATAGAAAACTCCAAATACAATTCATTACTTATTTTTTCCAAAGAGAATATCCAAAAATAGAGCATTGTTTGATTACGTAAACTTGTAGTAGTATATCTGAATCAGGAAATATCTATATTATTTAATACATTTAAAAGCATATATATACATATTTATATGCATATAATTTACTACATTTAAGATTTTATATATATGTGTGTATGCATGTGTGTGTGTGTGTGTATATATATATACTTTTATCACTGTACAGTTTCCTGAAATAATTTTATTTTAACTCTTCATATGAATATCCATTACCACCAAAGCCACTGTATAAAAATCTACTACCATTTCGGCAAGAGTGTTTCCTGATGGAGATCTGCGTGTTTAGATCTAACTTAGTGAGGATAGAACACCACTCACCAATAAGCATTTAACAGAGAAGAATGTTACATCTAGTGCTCAATTCTGGAGATAACTTGAGTTTGCAGTGATGTGCTTACTGGGAAATGGGAAAAGAAAAAGGAGAAAGGAGGTTTAAGATGATTTTGGAAACTCAGACCTTGAAGACAGTGCAGATGAATGAGAAGAGAGAAGTGAGGAAGGAAACTCTTGTGGAAGTGGAAGCAGTGATCACAGTTCTAGAGCTGTTAAGTTTGATGAGGCCCTGGGCCAGTCTAGGCTACTGGAGAAATCATTCTGCCTACATAAAGCTCTTTTGTTTGGAAATGAAACATTGTCCTTTTTCTTTGTTTTTCAGACAATTACTTTACTTATGTGTATTACTCCTATGAAACTTCATTACATTCAAATCACTATAAGTTTAAATAAAACCTAATTTTAATGTAACACCACTCCTAAGCAAGAATAGCCAACCTAAAGCCTGTGTTGGAATGCAATGAGGTGATGTCCTCATTAAGTTGAAATCTTGTAGAGTGAAACAAAGACAGACAACTCAGAGACATATGAAGAAACTGAAATACTTCTTTGTTTCCACAGCCAAGACAGGATTTCAGGAGGAAGTGATCATTTCTATCAAATGCCACTCAGAGTCGAAGGAAAACTATCAGGAAACCATTAAAATACGAGTTTCTTGAGGAGCTCACATGTTATTTATTTGAGTCCATCAGAAGATAGACCCTAGGTAAAAGCTTAAGATGAAGGATGCATTTTTGCATTTTAAAGGTTCACACTATCATCAAGAATTGTTTCTTTTTTTTTTTCATTTTAAATACATCTCAAGGCCTAACTTCATCAGTCCATAAGACAGCATCTATATATATGTCTTGTCAATAGATTTTATGCCTGGTCAGTAGTTTTATGAAGAGTTGACTTTCATAATTGATTTGGTTACACTTTTACATTCCCATAGGTTTCCCATTTGAATTTCTTCTGAGTTAACACCCAGGGGATCAAAATGTAATTACATATAATGAGCTATTAAATTCTAAACTTAATCTCCAGAAATTAGTTTTTTAAATATTCTAACTTAATCTCTAAAAATGAGTTTCTCATTTATTGCACAACGTAGATATTTCACTTGTACAAAAGTCCTCACCTACTGTGTCATCAAATTTAAATGGGGATGCTAATAACATTTATGATTACTTTGAATTTTAATACATTCATTTCCATGGTGAAACATACGCACATATCTTGGAGTAATAACCCAGTTTTATTAATCATACTGCCACTTTCTAAATGTTAAGTAATTTTATCACAGTCAACATATCCTGATAGGCATGTATTTGCTGATAAAGAGCAAATAAATCTGAATGGCTTGGCTTTAATGTCAAAATCATTCTTCTGTACCTGCATCCTCCCTCACACTATAAAATGTCAAAACAGAAACGACTCATGTTAATGTCAACACTACTGGGAGCTGTGCCAACAAGAACCCTACAAGAATAACACAACAATCACAAGTACCATGGAGTTTAATGATGCTATTACAAAATTGTTTGGTTTCTGTAACACACATCTGATGAAGATTTACTTAAGTATCCAAACCTCCTTCTTTTGCTCACAGTTAATATTCCATTAGATTTTAAGAGCACAATATTTCTTAAATAAAGGCAATAGAACTTTTGCCTTTTTTGAATTAGAGAGTTTACCTTATTCAATCAATCATTAAGGATCAAAAGTTAGGAAGTGGAAAAATTAAAAGAAAAGTCAATTGCTTTCTGTTTTAAACTTATACAATTTTAATAAAATTTCCATTCTATCTAATAAATATGATGGCATAATTGATAAATACTGGCTTTCTAACATTTCTTATGTGAACAAGACTTTCATTTCTAATAAAATAATGGATTTTTAAAATAAATATTCTATTTTAGTGATAGTCATATCATAAGACTCAGTTTTCACTATGCCACTAATGGTTACTATATTGGAATAATTTAAAAAAACATCTTAGCATACGAAACCTCGGAACATAATTTATTACATTTAAATTAGTAACAACAACAATAATAATCTACTATATGTCATGTAATGTACATCTTATTATTTCTAATTATTTTGTCAACCAAGTAAGTTTGGGAATCATCCTCTTCAATTTGACACATATTGAACTGTAAACTGAAAATAAAATCCTAAGCCCCTCACTGACTGAATGGACCCCTCTTGGCCAAGGGGACCTCAGAAAACCCTTAAAACAGAGCTCCCAGTTGTGATGGAAAGGGAGGTTAGACATGCTTCTTTATATCCCTTCCCTTCTGGAGTTTAAACAAGCGAGTATTAAAGTTAAAATAGAGATCATAAGACTGACAAAACAGACTCTTTGTGGCAGTAAGATACTAAATCGCAAGCAGTACCTAAGGCCCAGAAAAGGTTTTAAGTCAGGACTTAAAAAAAATAAAATCTCACTAAATGGATTTTTTTTTAATTGAGCAGGTATAATGTGGCTTACTTCCCAACTTAACTCTGGCTTAGTATCACATAACAGATAAGAGACCCTCTTATTTTAACTCAATCATTCCTTTCTACTGACTCCAAGTCTTTAAACAAAGCTTTATTTCTTTAACCAATTACAAATCAAAGAATCTCTTAACCCACCTATGACTTGTAAATTCCTGCTTCGAGATGTCTCACCTTTTCAGGCAGAAACAATGTATAACTTCCATGTATTGATTTATGATTTTACCTGCAATTCCTGTCTCCCTAAAATGTATAAAACCAAACTGTAACCCGACTTCCGCTGGACCTCTTACTCAAGGCTTCTTGGGTTTATGGTTCCCTGGACCATGGCCACTCATAGTCAGCTCAGAATAAACCTCTTTAAATTATTTTACAGAGTTTGTTTATTTCTGTTAACAACTTAGAGTTAAAACAAGTGAAGGAACTTGTTCAAGGTTACAGGAGTACAACAGAGATGGAATATAAGCCTGCATCTACTTGATTCAAAAACCATGCCCTGGCCGGGCGTGGTGGCTCATGCCTGTAGTAATCCTAGCACTCTGGGAGGCCGAGGCGGGTGGATTGCTCAAGGTCAGGAGTTTGAAACCAGCCCGAGCAAGAGCGAGACCCCATCTCTACTAAAAAATAGAAAGAAATTAATTGGACAACTACAAATATATAGAAAAAAAATTAGCCAGGCATGGTGGTGCGTGCCTGTAGTCCCAGCTACTTGGGAGGCTTAGGCAGAAGGATTGCTTGAGCCCAGGAGTTTGAGGTTGCTCTGAAAACAAATTAGATATGTGAGTGGTTCTGTGGCAGTGAGACTCTGTCTCAAAAAAAAAAAAAAAAAAAAAAAATTCCCTTTTACCCCAGTTCACTACACTCTTCCAGAATCACTTCTAGACTATTTCTTTGAAATATTTTCATTCTTAGATGCAATTACATCAAGTAAGATATCACAATGGTTATCCATACATAAGAAGAGTATAAAGTTTTTAAAGATAAAAATTGTAGACATCATAAGTAAAATTAAATTTACTTACAAGGGGAAATGAGTTGCTTTTTCTAAGTATATTTACTTTGGTAAATAAACTATTCATTTAAAAACTCAATGGAAGTGAAAACTAAGAGTTACAGTAGTTTTATATTCTTGTGATGTCCTGCTTTGTAGTTACAATGTAGGGCACAAGATGTTTATATTCTGATTCTGTTTTAGTTTTTCATTATGCAAATTATAACTTAAAAAGTTTTATTTTTTCAATGAAAATCAATCGCATAAGAAAATGATTATTGATTATAAACAAGTGAAATTGCATCAAATGATATTTGGTAATGACTGTATAGGTCTGCTTGGGCTGCCGTAATAAAATGCCACAGGCTAGGTATCTTAAACAACAAAAATTTATTTTCCGATAATTCTGGAGGTAAGAAGTCTGAGATCAAGGCGCCAAAAAATTTGGTTTCAGGTGAAGCCTCTCTTCCTGGCTTGTAGATGGCCGCCTGTCTACTGTGTCCTCATGTAATATTTTCTCTGTTCTCTTAATGAGGCAGGGGTGGGGGGAGAGAAATATAGTGTCTTTTCCACTTCAGGTTTCTTTATTTTCATGATTACCTTCTAAAACTATATATCTAATTTTTGCATTTATTATCTGATATTATTTTATAAAGGAGAGCCTCCCAAATTGTATAAGACCTCTGAGCACCTGGATTAGCCATGCATTTGGGCTCACATGAGACAGGAGAGAGGGACTCTTATATCTGTACATGTAGGTCTGTGAGTGCTGTTCTGGATATTCAGTCTCTTTAGCAGTGTCCCCTCTCTGCCTGAAACCTGTCACTTTGGCATATGCTGCCAATGTCTGAGATGGGGATCTCATGTCTCTTCTCTTAGCCCCATCAAGCACCCAGAGTCCCTCATCTTTGTGTCTTTGTCATTCATATTGTAGCTTCAGGGCCAGCCATCTGCCACCCTTCTGCCTCTTCAGTGGGGTCCTTCTAATGTCTCAATATAGCAACCTCCATGAAAGGCTGCTTAGGTATTGACTCAGTAACCTTCAATGACTTAGAAAGTTTTAGCTTTCTTCCAAGCCACAAGGAACTCAAGCCAGTTTTGGCTATTACCATGATAGTGAGAACATAAGAAATGAATGAAAATATTTTTTCAGTACCATCAAACTTTCAATACATAGTATTGCTGAGGACTCAAAAATCCTGATTTGAAAATTTTACAAAAACCTGAATGCCAAATCTTTCATTTGCATTCCTGCTATTAGAGTCCTCTTCTTGCCCTCCATCCCCACTCCTGCTAGGGTAGATGAATATCTCTGGCCAACTATAAAGCAGATTTCATAAACAAAGAAGCAAAAGAGAAAAGCACATTAATATATTTCAAAATATATTAACCCTATTACAGAAGTACTTACAAATAATAAATGCCATTTTAGTTATACAGGAGCATGCAAAAAGAAGTAATAACACTGCCTACAGATGTGGGGTGTTTCAGTGGACAAAGATGCTGCAAATACAAGCTAAAGAAGCAGTATAAATTCACCAGCCCTCCTATCAGACATTTAATAAACATTGCTTTTCCATTTCTTGGCCACTTGCCATTTAATCTCTGCAGAGAAGACACTATGATGACAGGTATTTTTTCCTATCATTTCTCTCAACCATTTATGCAAATTTTCACTTGTATATTATTTCAATATTAAAAGACATTAACTATGCACACTAAAAGTTCACAGTATCCGTAACTTGAGTTGATACTAAGAGTAATATGAGAAATAAAGCTTACTGGTTTCATCCCTTTTTTGTTCAATGGATTTATGTATTTGTCGTAGATCAGGATTTCTAAAATGAAGTCATGGACCAGAAGTATCAGCAACACCTGGAAACTTCTTATAAATGCAAATTAGCACTATAAGGGCCAGCAAACTATTTTAATAAGCCCTCTCAGTGATTTGGATGCATGATAAAGTTTAAGTTTGCCTTAGATTATAAATCCAATAGATCATAAAATGCTTATTTTCTATTAACCAATGTATATTTTCCCAAAGTGTGAGCTAGATAGAGATAATACAGTAAAAAGAAAAGTAATATCGAAGTCTACCTGCCTATCTACCTATCTACTTATCTAGGTATCCAAGCCATAATTCATGCTTAAATTAGTACATCCAGGCTCTTACTTGAGAAAATCCAGAAGTGAGGAATGTTGAAAATGAAGTTGAATCACTCTTTCATTGTTATCCACAGGTAAAGATTGACTTGAACTAATTCCAGGGGGCATTATTCCACTCAAGTGGAGCACCACATCATAAATGGTCTTATTGTATTTAGAAAAGTCATTTTGTCGGGAAAATTTTTGGGGTGATGATTTTGATGAGAATTGTATTTTATACACATCCCTATAAGAAAAAGACTTTAAATTAAAGACAGTCTCAAAATGTTATGGGAAAAAAATGTTCAATTCAATGACTAAATAAAATTCTATTAAAATCAACTATGAAATTCTAAAATACAGTTCACTCTGCTACTATTTGTTAGTCAAAATTAGATTTTTTTAATATCCCCAGAGATTTTCAGTATCTTGTTTAAACACACATCATTATCTAATGTTGCAATTGTCAAGTCTGAAGTATTGGATTGTGAATAGATTGGATCTGGAGAAAGAGAACAGGAATTGAATCCTGGACCCATTACCTACGAGCTATGTGATTATGGCAAGTTATTTAAACTCACCAAGTTCAATTTTGTATTCTATCAATTGGAAATAATGTCTATAATAGTTTCCAAAACAGATTTCAAATATTCATCACACACATAAATACAAAAATAACTTTACACATATTTTCTCAATATTTGTACTTTAATCTTTAGAAGGGCACATCCTATACATTGGCTTAATAAGCAGGGATTCTCATTTTAAAGTCCAGAGATGTCACAAACTTTTCTGTTCTTTGAATAAGACACTGCGATATCCACTCCATAGTACTATTGCACCAGGTTGTGATGCATGCTAATTTTTGTGGGGTAAAAATTCCAATCTATTCTTTCTTACAACTTATCAAATATCTCATATTATACTGTCTAATTGTTTGTCAGCAATGAAAATCACACATGCATCACTAGCTTAGATTGACAAATAAAAAGTACCCAATGGACCATTTTGAGTGGTAGTTCTTCAGTTTAGTAAATAAGAAGTCTGTATACCATAATACAAGAGAAAGTACATTGTCTTACGTAAGAGTTAGACTACCATTGCTCAAAACCTGGCTCTGCCACGTACTGTGTGACCTTATAGAAGTTACTTGAACTTTCTGCTCCTCAGATTCCTCATAAATAATGGATATAATAGATCTAGTGCATCCTGATGTTACTGGCAAAAAAACATATAGTTTGTGAAGAAAATTAACACCATCATAGGCCAAGATGAATGCAAATGAAAAGAAACAATAGACAACAAAAACAGACACATAGGAGCCCCAGATATTACAGTTGTAAGACACAGACTTTACACTAACTAGCAAAAAAGGAGAGGAGACAAAAACAATGGGGCAGTTAAATAATTTGAAGAGATATTATCTGAGAACTTTCTAAAATTACCAATAGAAAATCAAACCACACAAGGAAGAATTACTACGAACCCTAATGAAAATAAGCTTAGAGAAAACTATTCTAGGTACATCATAGTGAAGCTGGTGAAAACCAAACAGAAAGAAGAAGTTCTTAAAAGGGCTCCAACAAAAGACAATACCTTCAAGGCACTAACACAAAGGATTTCTTGATAGAAACAGTAGAAGAAAATGATATATCTATCAATATGCTGAAAGAAAATAACTCCCAACCTGAACCTGATTTTAAAAACTCTATACAATTAGAATAAAGGTGAAAAATTGATATTTTTGGATACAAAATACAAATACAGAAATTTATAACCAAATGACCTTACTTTTTAAATATATGTTTCTATTTTTTTATTAAGGGGGTACAAATATTTTTGTTACATGGGTTGCTTTTATAATGCTTTCATCAGGGCTATAAGTGTGCCCATCATTTGAATAGTGTACACTGTACATGTTACGTAGCTCTTTACCCCCCACCCCCTACTTCTTCATTTCCAAAAATTTTTACTTCTTTCTGTGCCCATCAGTTAGTTCCAAATTATTGGAGAGTACATGTGGTGTTTGTTTTTACATTCTTTAGATACTTCACTCAGGGTAATGGTCTGCAGTTCCATGCAAATTGCTGCAAAAGACATTAATTCATTTATTTCTATGGCTAAGTAATACTCCACATT